TTAAAGTTGACTTACGTTTGTTTATAAACTCACTTGAGAAATTAATATTGGAGAGGCTTAATTTATTTTACATTTATAATAATTAGAACGTTTCAGTTAACTCAGAGAGACGGGCGCAGTGGCAGTGCCCTTCAGATCTTTGAGATTTGTGATATTGCACTGTTATGGACAGGCGTGTCATTTACCACCAGGCGCACAACTTGTTCGTCCAGTCACTTGGTATCATAAACAAAACAAAAGTTCAAAAATGATTCCGGTATGAGCTAAATAACGCATAAAAATTTTTCAATTTTTTGTCAGCCGTCTTTTAAGTAACATTGGAATTATATGGAACAAATAAAAATACATAATTTTTTTTTAATATGTTAGTCGTTTACTTTCTTTCGTTTGAAGTATTTTGAGTACATAAATTGTTCTTTTTCATTTGATATCGTTAATTATGAAATATATTGAAATACATGTCGCACTGTCAATATTACAGTGATGAAGTACAAAAAGTAAAATTTTTCGGTACCTGACAAAATAAGAAATAAAATTAACGTTTATTTTTTCACATCAAATATAATTTAGTCACATTTGCCAGCGAAATGGCATATCACATTACATGTTACGTTATTTTTTTTAAATCTATTTCGTTAGCTTTCCAAAAATATTACCTTTCAAATGTCTTTCTTTATTATTTAAAGGTACGAGTATGTTTTCATAAAATTTACATTTATTAGCTATATAGATGAGATGTTTGTTCAACCCAAATGTATTATTAACCAATTCTATATAAAAAAAAACACAGATATTCACATAAAAAATTTAAAAAAATAGGAATTGCCACAAAATATTTACAAAAATGAACAAAATAATAGTAACACCGATCAACCTACATGTAATTCCATCGCACATCGCTGGATGGCGTTAGTTGTATACTAAAATGCGCGTTTAGTTGACGTCATAACATAAGGGAACCCATATATTTTGTATGATGAATACAAATAGTCCCCTAGTTTTGAATTATTCTTTGTAAGTTCTTTGATTTTTTCATCTCTACGCATCCCTCCCTGCTGACCCTGACACATAATGATAATTTGTTTGTTATCAAAGGCCCATGGCTCAGCATTGATGATATACTATGGGCTATAGGACGGACCTATTACGAGCATTTACCAGCCGAACTTGTTCAGCATTAACGTAGCTAGTTTTGCAACAACACTATGAAACCAGGTCTAGTTTTGTTATAATAATAGTAAAAAATACAACTTGAATCTAATTTTAATTTTCCTTTGGACTCTTATATCGACGTCATCAACCATCACAGTAATTTCTTCTTCTTCGGTCACATGTGATTGTACTTGCCCGATGATATGAGTATACAATCTAAGAATTTCATATGTAAACCAATTTTCTCGATCAAGTTTTTAATAAATGAACACGATTGACCTCTCGGATGACAAAATAGTAAATACCACACAAAATAACGGATTTTGCACTACTTTTATACTCAATAAAGCAGCGTTTGCAGATTGACGATAAAATGGCAACTGTTGAAAGTGTAATACTAAAAAAGATAGCAACTTTTGCAAAAAAGTCAACATTTGACACTGATTTGTTCAGCCAATCCATTTCACGCCATTAACTAAAAACCATTAAAAATGTCGCGTAGCGCTGTTTGCAAGTGGACTAGACAAATACAAAATTAGTTATTTTAAGATTACTGTTGCAAAACTGTCTATGTTCTATTTTTAAATGGAAATAAAGCAAAAAGTTTAATACTGTGATTTTGTTTCTTCATATTGTTAATCTCTTTTTTATCACATTTTTCAGATAATTAAAAAGTACCATTTAAAAATCCGTTTTCGGAACAATATTTTTTTTTAGTTTATAGCTTTTTTATTCACGCACATAACGCAGTTTGCTACTGGACTACTCAGCTATAAAATTAACGTTGTGAGGAGACGTTCAAACTGAAGGACCTTTTGTTTGAAAATTCCCATCTCAGTAACAGATTGCATTCAAAGCTATGTAAACAATCAAATTATTATATTTATTAATGTAATTGACATTCACCGTATTATTATACTTTAATTTACAATATTAGTTATTAAGGCCCATTTAGATGGGGAGAGTTTCTCGCACGCTTCGAGACGAAAACTCGTAGGCGATTATCGTAAGCAATCATCGCCATAACATTATCGTATCATAATGTTTACATTCAGACAAGAACTAAAATCTCGCCTACGATTATGTCATACGAGATTCGCAAGCAACTTAATCGCCTCCTCGACTGTTTACACGGAGAAATATGTAGTAAGGAGATTCTTGCTTACGAGTTTTCGACTTGTCTAAACACGATCTCGTATGACACTTTTTCAAGTTCATACGATTATCGTACAAATCGGTTCGAACCGTTTTGAGTGCGAGAATTGCCATTCGAGTTCAGTGATTACTGCGGTATGACTATGGATATATCAAAATGATGCAAAAACCATTCAAATTTGAAACTGCTGATAATATTAAGTTCATTGCACTGTATAGAAATGTAATTTTGATTTATCATTTTTTTTTTAATTTTATAACTACTGACACAAACAAAAACTGACAATTATGATAAATTCTAAATACTATATTGCCCACGCTATATTCGACCACAGAGGCACTCACTCACTCACCGAAATTTGAAATTTTTTTTTCGCTCTCGTTCCATTAATTCTTGTCTTAGAAAAGCAGTGATAACCAAAACACCCTCGCGCACTGCACTCGTGGTAGAAACGGCTGGCACAGAAACTCGAAATACGATTTTTGCTTTCGAGTTCTGTTTACACGGAGACGTTCAATATTGAAAGGCGAGGAGATTATCGCTCAGGTGGACGGTCGATAATCGCGAATGTTTAGACGAGGAAATTTTTTTTATATTCTTTCGATAATCGCATCTTCGAGACGAGAAACTCTCTCCATCTAAATGGGCCTTTAAGAAGCCATATTAACATTTCCTATATACACTTGACATTGTCAGTTGAATTTAATTATTTATTAGTTTCATAAATTATCTTGATTTGTGTATGCATACTATTGTGTACTATAACCATAGGTCAGAAAAAGGTGTTCCACATATATAGATGCATGTATAGACATAGTTACATGGAGTGCTAAAGCCACCAAATAACACTTCATTGTTTTTTCGAATTTCGGATTTCCGGAAATGGTTTTACTATGTAGGACAAACTACTGACCTAGGAAGTCGAAGTTGGATTTTACAGTAATTCAAATGGGGCCATGTAAAAAAATGCAGTAAAAAATACAATAGAACTACTTTTTCGAATTCCGGATTTCCGGATAAAATGAACTCCTCTCTTTAATCTATTTATGAAGATAAATGGCCGTCAAAAATGATACTTTTTTCGTCTTGTTTAAGCGTCCAGCATTTTTTTTACAAACAGTATTCAAATAATCAAGTGTGAACATTTTTTTTTCAAAATACGACATTTCTGCTGTGGTTCCAATTTATGAACATCTGTTATACTGTGTTTTTGTATTTAAATAAAATATTTTTAGAGCGCGATCACGACGTTCTCATGAAAACTAAAATATCCTAAAATTCCCGTCGCAAATAAAATTTTAAATTGTTTTTTTTTTTTGTAAGTTCTACTAGCAAATGTCGCTGTTCCGTCAATGTGACCGTCAATATGCGGTATCTAGAGTGACCATTCTCGTTACATTTTTATTTTCTGTTTTAGTAAAGGATCATTTATCTACTACATTTTTTACATGGCACCATTAGAATTACTTTAAAATCAAACTTCGACTTCCTAGGTCAGTAGTTTTGTCTTACGATGCAATAAAACCATTTCCGGAAATCGGGAATCCGAAACAGTAATTCATTAATATTTGGTGGTTTTAACAATCTATATCTATTCCTTGATCTATATATGTGGAACACCTTTTTCCGACCTATGACTATGACTTACTATTATATAATTATTTCTCATTATTTTGTAAACTGACGATCACTTTTCGAAGAGTAGTATAAAATGACATGTAACTAACTGTATTTGTATGAAATTTGTAATGTTGAGAGAAATAAACTAGACTAAACTTAATAATAGATCTTTCTGCTGGTACTAATTGGTGAGCGGTCGTACTGACACAACCGTTGTTTTAAATATAATCTCAGTACAGAGTACTAAAAAAACCGACTTCAAAAGTACGTGGAATTACGTTTATTTGCGAAGTTTCATTGAAATATCCCCTAGTTCGCCACTATACAGGACTTGATACTGGAGATAATAAAAATAGGTTCTCACTACAACACTACTCAAAGTATATTGAGAGAAAAACGCCTTGAATTGGAGAAATAGCAATATCAACCATTAAAGTAATGGCTCCTAAATTAAAGTTAGGCGCTATTTATAAAAATGAATCTTCATGCGTGAACAGCCACCCTTTGAGGTGGATGATTTTCTTCAAAATAAAATGGGACCACTATGGAAATACCCCCTTTCCAACAAAGAGAAGAATCATGAAAATCGGTTCACAAATACCGGAGTTATCGCGTAACATACATACAAAAAAAATACAAAAAAAAGAACATACACTCGAATTGAGAACCTCCTCCTTTTTAGAAGTCGGTTCATAAAATAGGTAAACTCCGCTCTGTCTGATGTTAAATGGAAACCTTTTCAAAATTTTTAGTAGCAGTAGAGCTCCTCGTATAAGAGTACGCCCAGGGAAATATGGTTACGCTTAAACTTTACATCCAAACAGTAACTTAAGTATGATTGCGATAAGAGAACTGGTGAAATTACAGGCGCATGGGACATGCCAACTTATGTCTCAAGGTGACGGGCGCAGTGGTAGTGTCCCTAAGATCTTTGCGATTTAAAGCTGCACTGCAACTGTTATGGACAGGCGTGTCGCTTACGACTTATTCGTCCCATCGCTAGGTATTATAAAAAAATGCAATATTTACAAGCGCTGTAACACGCGCGCGCCACTTTTGCAGTTACAATTATTTACTTGTGACTCTGCCACGCCTCCTGGTTCTGAGACTGCTCCTTCCAGTTCCTTGAAGTCTTTCTGGACTTCATCGCTCCAGCGGTACCTAAGACGTCCGACGGCTCGGCGTCTGCTCTTTCGTCCCAAATAAGCTCTAGTAATGTGAGGATTACTGTGTTCTGGTTTTAAAGGATTAACGGTGCTGGTGAAATTACAGGCACGTGGGACTTTTCAACTTATGTCTCAGGGTGACGGGCGTAGAGACAGTGCCCTTCAGATCTTTGCGATTAAAAACTCTGAGTGACACTGAATCTTTTATAGGTATGCGTGTTGCTTACCAGCAGGCGCGCGACTTGTTCGCCCTATTCTCTTGATGCTCAGTATGATGACTTGCATACGAGGCATCTTGTCTCTTCATACCTTGACAAAAGTACTAGCGCATTTCCGTCCTGACTCAGAATTTCATTTGCCAACTGTGCGACAGAGAATGATGTAATACGGCAATGAGTGATAAAATAAATAATGACTATTGAAAAAAAAAGAAAAGCGTTATTGGAAATGAAACTATTTTTCCGGATTTAAATCGCGTATAATTATTTTTGCAAACAAGCTAACGTTTCGGGCCCTTTACAGGTCTTATGATTGACTGGTGACCGTGAAGGGACCTGTATAGGGCCCGAAACGTTGGTCTGTTTGAAAAAACGAATATATGCGATTTAAATCCGAAAAAATAGTTTCATTTCCTAAGGCTGACAATCGCGAAAATCTAAGCACTCGGAAAAGCATTATTATTAAAAACCGTAAAAAGAAAGAAAAAAAATCTTTTTTTTTAACTTTGTCTATTCGAAACGCCAAGTCGAGTGTTGTTGACAGAAATGCCTCTTGAAGTCACGTCACGAACACTGACACAGAGAGCGCGTTTGCGTTGAAGGGCCACGTGATGTCACGTGAGATTTAGGACATCAAAGGATCGTATTATTAAACAGTTCCTTAGTCGATAATGTCGATTTCCAAACGAAGAAATACAGAAAATACCACTGACTTACAAATAAATGGACGACGGGTCTAACACAAAAACCACGAAAAAATGTCCCAAGTCAACCTATTTAAACGTAGTGACATGTAAAGGAATATGAAAAAGCTAAAACGTTGAATTTAAATTGTAATGTCATCGCAGTACTGTTTAATTTTGCTTGCTTCGCTGTCAGTCGAACAAACGAAGACTAAAGCGTGAATGACGCTCTGTATACGATTTTAACGCTCTATAAGTTCGGACACTTTTTAGCGCGGACCCGACGTCCATATAATTGTAAGTCAATGGAAAATACACTTATTTTGTTGCCACATAAGACATCGTCATAAACAGAAACAAATGCATTTTAAAAAGTCAACAAAAATACAAAACAATAGAAAAGCACATTATCCGCCTTTCCCATTTTGCCTTTTTTGCATTTCTGCATATTTGGGCGCACATTTTTTACACATTTTTCTTATTTTGTCTTTTTTCACAGCTTTGTACGCTAGCGCCCGCAAAATTTTATACAAAAACCTTTTTCTCATAGTCTTGTAGTGGCTTCAGACCTAAATTATCTCGAAAACAGGACAGAACGAATTCATATCTTCGCTTCATTACAATCTTTCTAAAATTGCGAAATATTGTCAAATTAAATTAATGTTTTTGGTATCACTGTGATCCGTTTTGCGGTAAAAGTTTTCGTAATATTTATGCACATTGTCATTTTATACAAGTACACTCGTAGCTATTGTGTCGGAGACAAATTGTCACTTCAACGTATTCCTGTATTATCTGTGATAATGGTCTTCAAATATAACAGGATTCGGTTTACTATAATTAATAATACTTGATAAAAATTTATATTTAAATTTATACAATTTAATTATTTTTGTAATAATCAGGCCCGAAACGTTGGTTTGTTTAAAAAAATACGCGATTTAAATCCGAAAAGTCAAAGTCAAAGATTATTTATTCCATAGGTAAAATAAATTTACACTTGAAAACGTCACAGTTAAGCTACTGCTCGTTCACTACGCTGACCTCCTTGAGAAGAACGAGCAAGAAACTCTAGGGATTGCTCTTTTCAAATAAACTTAAATGCTATGGAATACACTTTGAATCAAATTTGTGTGGATTCTGGAGCCATGTCGTCTTTCCATACATCTTTATCTAACACGTAGTCTTCAACTTTGTAATATGATTTTTCGATCAAAATATTTACAAAAACAGTTTCATTCTTTAGGTAACAAATTTCAGAATGAAAAGCAAAAGCTCTACCTCACAATTCTGTAATAAAACCAAAGCTTCTCCATCTCTGCGTGAAAGAGATTCTCGATTTTCGTTTGTTACCAAAACGTTCGGGACTTTTCATGCTATTTATCTGGATTATTCAAATGTCGGAATGGTAACTTCCATCAGCCATTAGGTCTTCGTGATTTAAAGCTCTTAGTGCCAGTGCAGCTGTTATAGATAGGCGTGTCGCTTACTACCAGGTAGGTCTTATTCGTCCCGTTACTTAATATTAAAAAAAATGAAGATTAAATAATCTATTAAGTATCTCCTTTTCTTATTTAACTTTCTCGAAGTTTCTCACCTTTCTAAATGCGACCCTGAAGTTTTCTGAGAGAAAAGCATACAGAACTGGATTAACGCAGCTGTTCATGTAGGCGAGGACATGTGACACGATCTGCACGGTCACCGTTATGTAAGTGACATTGTAAGCACCCAGCGCCTTCACAAGCAGGATTATCTGGAACAAATTGAGAAGAAAATTAGATACCTTGTAGTTTATCGAGCAAGCTGTGATTGCGGAATGTGGTAAATGAAGGTTTTGCGTTTTGCTGAGCTAGCTACGAAAGGCTCGTTCAATAAATGGAATATTTGCATTGTATGTCACGTCTTTATTTGTAAACATTATTTTCTGATGACAAATAAAAAACCTAAGAGCAAATAAGCTCTAAGGGCGTCTTCAAATTAGACGCTTATAGAAGCCCTGCTTTCTGTAGCGCTTCAGCAATATTTAGTTCGCTAATTATGACTGCAAAAGTGGCGTGCGTGTATCACGACAGTGGGGCTTATTATAACCGACATAGAGTTGAATTTAAATCTCAAGTGTCAGTTTGAAAAAACATGTGATTTACAATTTTAATTTCCAAATTCCAATTCAAATATCTTTATTTCGGTTTATTCATTTAATAGAGGTTAGTAACAAAGCGCTTAAAAATAGAGTTAGTACTACAAATAATATTTTTTCTAACATGTTATTGTACACAATTCGTAGGGCGCCAAGAAATTTTAACGTGTAGTTGATTTAAGACTGCAAGCTTAAAAAAACTGGCAAAATGTCTTGTATAGGACTATCTTGACATTTTATTTTGTTTTTTGTTTGACTTACATACCATTTTTTTTTCATTCATAAAGATTTTTTAACATAAATGTTATCGTGTCAAGAATAGAGCTTATTTGGGAGGACAGAGTGAACGACAACCAGTCGGACGTCATAGGTACCGCTGGAGTGATGAAGTCCAGGAAAACTTCAAGGGCCTAGTAGCTGGAAGGAGCAGACTCAGAACCAGGAGGCGTGGCAGATTCTGGTGTCGGAGGCCAAGAACCACAAGTAAATAATTGGACTGCAAAAGTGACGCGCACGCATGTGTGCCGCTGCCACTGTGTTTCTAAATAATGCATTTTTTATAATACCTAGTGATGTGACGAATAAGTTGTAAGCTACACGCCTATCCATAACAGTTGCAGTGCAGCTTTAAATCACAAAGATCTGAGAGGCACTGCCACTGCGCCCGTCACCTCGAGACATAAGTTGACAAGTTCCATGTGTCTGTAATTTCACCTGTACCCTTTCTAAACTGGAACGCAGTAATGCTTACATTACTGCTTATCAACAGACATCTAATTTGAAGAAGCCCTAAGAGCTTAGTTTCCCTGTTGTTGAAGCACGATTGTTTGAATCCTCTATTCCCACTAGTTCTGTTGACAGTACTACTGGTACTTTTCTTCCTCCTTATCTCTTGTTCTGTTAACAGAACAAATGGGATTTACGATTCCCAGTAGATCTGTCGAACTGTTACCTATATAGAAGACTCCATAGTAATAATCAGGAAAAGGCAGTAAAGTCACTTACAATCATCTTTACAAAATACAACGTAAAAAGAAATGCGGATAATCGCAACAGATTCCCAGTTAGGGTAGAATACATGTATTATAATAATGATTATTTCTTACTATTTTCCCGATATTATATCGAATTGTGTTAAGAAATATATAATAAGTGATAATCATTTAGAGTGATGATTCGTAAAGTGGTCCTTATCGACCTCCAGTGATCCACTTCAAACTAACTAACTGTCTTCGTGGCTAAACGGTTACCGTGCCCGGGCCGGGAGAAATATTTGTGTGGCCTACATTTGTTTCTCTCGTGAGTTGGGTGCATCGAGTATATAACCAGAAATAGAGACGAAATAAGGGCCATCCATCACTGGCAACTCATTAGGCAACTGGGTTTTATATCACTTTTAAATATCAACTCTCGTTTGCGCTGAAATCACAAATTAGAAAGCTGAAATAGTACAGCGCCAACAACTGACTTGTGTGTAAGTCTCCGTATATTCCAAAAATATTCTGTATTTATTGTAATAAAGATAACATCTCTAACAATGGGGACTGTTCCATGCGGTTATGTGGGAAAAAAAGAAGAAATTACCTATTAAACTATACATATTTCACAACAAACAAATATATGATAAGACTGAAGTTGATAAATTTAGGAAATGAATCTCTTCGTTCGGATCTAAATAGCGCATTTTTCTGCCGGGACAATGGCACCTGTAGAGGGTCCTAAACATTAGCTTATTTGAAAAAATAAATAAATACACGCAATTTCGATCCGAAAAATATGAAATGAAACTTCATATGTGTAATCACGAAAACCCAAGTTGATGAATTTGTAAAAAAAAAACAATATTAGAAAGGTCTACAAAGCAGAAAAATTTGCCACGAGTTTTTACAGTCCAATTGTTTAAGTGACCATACGCCACCAGCGGGATAAATTGTCATTGTGTCCTAATTATGTGACAATGGCGATTTTTTAAGAACATTGAGTTGCAGGTACATCATAATTCGTTCCATAGCTCTTTGGGTGACCTTGAGGCGAAGAATCAATCCCGCAGTCAGGGTCCATGTCTCGCAAGCGTAGGTCATAACTGGTAAGACGTATACGTTTGTTTATTTCTCTGTTCTGTAACTCCTTGCCGAGTTTGACTTAGTGACTAAAACTGATGAAGAGTTTTCTCAAATTGAAACAAGTTCATTATCTTTAAGGTTATATTAAATTCTAGTCAGCAATATCATACACGACGGGAAATTAAGTAATAATTCATTATTTTACCTTGCTCCGAATTTACGAGCAAGTTCAACACGCGCGATCTCAATTAGATAAGCTATATACACCGTTCCTCCATCACGCATATCAAGTAACCGAGAAAATTTCCTCGGTGATTCCGACGTGATATTCAGTTTTAGGAGCTGTCGAGATTCTTTTGAAAGAATTAACCCAGGGAAGTACAGCCACCTTACCTAAGTCTGCCGTCAAGTACTAATGTAATCATAAAAAAAGGTGATGATACGATGACAACTGCGTCGCATAGGGTAAAAGCCGGATAGTTGCCCCACTTTTAGAAAAAGCTCTATTATAAAATAGTATGTACTTAATAAGAAAAATGCTACATGTATATCAAAATATAGGTCTTTGAACTATAATAGTACCCTATTTTTGTGAACATATTTATTAATGGTTTTGAGTAATTCCTGTTTTATTTGACCTCTCAAAAAGAGGATAGTTGCCTACTCTGGCGGATAGTCGCCTAAAGGAAATAATACTTCAGAGGATACTTGCCTTGTGCGGGGATAGATGCCTCACAATGTTTATTTTAAATAAAAACAAATTTATATCAATTAACGTAATCAGTCTTTATTATTTACTGCAATCTTTTGTTAAGAACTAATCAACATTATTAATTGTTTGTTTTAAAACTATGAAAATATAACAAAAATAACCTCCAAATCTTAAATTAGTTAGTTGTTATTAATACAAAATTATTATTTAGCTTAAAAATATAACAATATGGCAATCAACTTTGGCATTAGCATTAGTTAATATTAGTCATCACAAGTAAGGGTTTTCATCTTTCCACATCTCGTGCAATTGTTTTCGAATGTTGTTACGTTGATACTTGCGAGGCATTTTGCTCACCTAGAAATGAAGACATAAAAAGTTAACCATTTATTTCATTTTATTTAATAAGTCATTCAAAAAAATATCTGACACGGGTGGGCCTTGAACCCACAACCTCAATATTTATTTTATTCAAGCTTAATTATAGCCACAAAGAGTTAAAAAACATAAAAAGAAAAAATCTCCCTTTGCTCGTAAAATAATTTATAGTTGCGGATAGTTGCCCCAGGGCGACTAGTTTCTAGGGCGACTATCCTTTTTGATACGGATACTTGCCCTTTTTATTTGGAAAAAAAAATAAAAAAAATTTAGCAATAAAATGTTATAAATAGTGTAATGTAAACTCTAATGCACGCAAGGAAACAAAAAGTTGACTGAAAAGACAATCAGTAATAAAAATATTCAATAGAAATTACTTACCAATATAGTTTCAACGCCTATCGAAGTTTCGCCGCGGAAGATTTTCGCTCACACGGACAAAACGCGTGCGTCTAAACTGACGGTTGACGTGGCACTGAGGTCTGCGGGAGGGGTACTTACAATTGTAGTAGCTCGCTACTGCCACAAACGCCCGTAACATAGTTAATTCGAAACCGTGGCAAGTATCGCCGTGGCGCAACTATCCGGCTTTTACCCTACGTACGGGATAGAGAGTGGACCACCCTCAGTCGTGATCTTCAAGGACGATTAGTGACGACGATAAACCTTTAGAAGCTTTTGTGTTAGCGCAATTTTGATCGATCTCCTCACGCGGGTCTCAGCAGTCAAAATCCCAAAGGGCATTTACAGTAGTATACTTTTTTTAACGCTAAAGTAAATACTCCAGATTTTTTGAGAAAATTCTATTTACTACGCCTACTTGAAACGCGAGCTTATGTCGCTTTCACGTACATAGATAGATAAAAACTTTATACACTTCTTCAACAATTTATCAACAAAGATCAACTAACATTGTAATTTCTATATTGAATCACTTAAGGCGACGCATTTCAATGCGAGCCTATATTTTAGGAGGTGAGGTGAGGGGGTCAGCCTTTCGCGCCCCGTAGCCCGCGCGCTGAAAATTAATATGAATAAAACAAGAATAGGCCGAGAAAATTTGACACAGATCCGACATCTACAAGTGCTCGATGGTGACTGACGGGGCAGCGGACGGTGTGGGGCATCGTCAAACCGGATAAATATGAATTGAATAACTATAGGGCTTCAATTACAAACCAAAACTTAACAGGTTTTCTGTAGTACAGATAAATATCTCCATATAAAAATTATGCGCAAAGTGAGATATTTTATTCTTGAATAATTCGTTTTAGAATTTTATTTTAGCCTATTTTCAGGACTTTATATGATCGGAAGATGTACATTCTATTGTGTAATAAATTAGCACGTTCTTTAGGCAATATCCTCAGGTGTATCGTATATTTTTCGTAAGATCAATATGTAATAGTAAATACCACTTGATCTAGCAAAATAGTTATTCCCGCTTCTCCTCCGAGTCACCA